CTAACCCCTAACTCCTAACCCCTAAACCCTAAACTCCTAAACTCTAAACCCCTACACCCCTAAGCCCCTAAACCCCTAATCTCCTAAACTCCTAAAGCCCAGGAGCTCCAGGATCCGCAGCCGGGAGTCGAGGAGCTCACTCCCCTGGAGCTGGGCATCCGCGAGGCCCGGGGGGCGTTTTATTTCTTCCTCTTTATTTTTATTTTTAAAATTTTTGTTTTAGGGGTTTATGGGGATTTTGAGGCATGGTAGTTGTCAATTTTTTTGGGGTTTAGGGATTTTGAGGGCCTTTTTGTGGGTTTTTGGGGGTGTTTATGTTTCAGGGATTAGCGTTTGGGCTCAAGGGCTTTCCAAGCTTGTTTCGAGTTTGCAGGGTTTAGGGTTCAACGTGCATGGGCCAGGCTTTGGGGAGTTTTGGGGCTTAAGCTTTAGGGTTCAGGGTTTAGGGTTTAGGGTTCAGGGTTCAGGGTTTAGTGTTGTTTAGTGTTGTTTAGGGTTCAGGGTTTAGGGTTTCAGAAGCTTGAAGAATGTGCCGCAGGAGTGCGGGAAGCGGGGCTTCAGGATCTCAGGGCTTGCTTCGTTGAGATCTTGCGCCCTAAACCCCCTAAACCCCCTAAACCCTAAACCCTAGACCCTCTAAACCTAAAGCCTAAATCCTGTACGGACTTTGATATCCCATGCCCTGCTTCCCTTGGATGGAGGGTTTTTGGGTTTTTTTGGGGCTTGCCGGATTTCAGGGTGTAGGTTGGCTTCAGGGGTCAACCCTAACCCCTGCGCCACCCCAAAATCTAAGCCTGGCCCAAACCAAATTTGAGTATGGGCAGGGCAGCCGCCTTAGGGTATGGCGTTTCGGGAGCGGCTCAGACGGGTTTGGGTTTGGGTTGAGCGGTTGAGCGCATAGCGAGGCGAAGATGAACACGAAAGATCTTGCCGATGCGGCGCCCGCCACGGTGCGAAGCCTCCAAGCTTTCGCATCCGGTGCACCGGAGTGCACCCTGGTCCTGTTTTGAGGGTTCTTCCTGTAATGAGCAATTGTTGAAGTTTAAGCCCTAGTCCTAACCCCTAAACCCAACCCCTAAACTCTAACCTCGACATTCCAGATCCGCGAAGCTGTAAACCCTCTAAACCCCCACAACCATGTCAGAATCCTTCTACAGGGGTCTGAATACTTGGTAAGCCAACACCCTTACCCATCTGGTCTAGTCTTTTCTGTGTTCTGCATTCTAGGTTCTATCACGTTCTATGTTCTGTAGTCTTTTCTAGCCTAGCCTGGCTTTTCCTACTCTATTCTGTTATATGATACCATACTGCACTGTACTACCTATTACGCTATATGTTAGAAGATACTGTATGATACGATACTATACTATACCAAACTGTACTTTACTATACTATGCTATGCTACGGACACTTCATTACACATTCGATTGTACTATATTATACTATACAATACGGTTTTGCACTATACTACACTATACACCATTATATTACACCATACTACACCATACTGCACTCTAATACACTATGCTACATTACAGCGTGCTATACTATACTGTATACTGCATTATCATAGTATAAAATGCCCCAAACCCAAGTCTTTTCCTTTACCGTCCCAATGTATTCACAGAAAGTATTCCCCAAAGTAACCCTGTGCCCGAAACCCTGAACCCTAGTACCCTTCTCGACTGCTTTAAAGGAGCCCCTATAGGAACCTAAAAGGATTCCCCGGCACTTCTTCAGGCATTCCACTCTTCTTGAACCGGCTCTCTGACGGCAGCCTTCTGCGCATGGCGGATCAACTAAGCCACACAGAGATTTGGCCGCTCTTGAATCAGTCTATCCTTTATCATCGTTGGGAAACATTTTACATTTCTGTGGGCACTTCAACTCAATGAAGAATATACAGTTTTAATTTTCTTACTACCCCAACCATGAAGCTAGTATGTTTTTTTGGGTTTTGGCGGGTTCAACAAGCAGCAACGATAATTGCAAGTCTTTTTCAGGGGCTCCACGAACAGCCCAGGACATCGCTCGATTGGTAAGAAGGTACCCTGAGTCCGCGGCAATGCTGCTGGACATGGCCACGGTCAAAGCCCGAGCCACGGATCCGGAGTGGCACCCGCTGCCACAGAGGGTGCATTTCAGGGAGAGTTGGGATGGGGTTCAGAGCACCGTCCTTTGCGAGATGGACAAGCATTGGGTCTTCAATGAGACGGGGCTCGAGTTCCCGAAACTTGGCTCTTGCTAGGGGGATTTAATTAAGTTACCATAATAAGGAAACCCTATTCTTTACTATACATCCCTATTATGGCAACTTAAATAAAACCCCCTAAACCCTAAACCCCTAAATCCTAAACCCTAAACCCTAAACCCTAACAAGAGCCCAGGAAATGGCACTGGAAAATCCTCCCTCGCGAGCGCGTGCGCAGCTTTACCTACTCGGAGATCGGCCCACATCTCGATGCAACTTGGGTTCTTGTTAGGGGATTTTATTTAAGTTACCATAATGGGGATTTATAGTAAATAATAGGGTTTCCGTATTAGTTTAAGTTGCCATAATAAGGAAGCCCTATTATTTACTATAGATCCCTATTCTGGTAACTTAAATAACATCCCCTAACAAGAACCCAGGCAAACATCCGGGTCTGCCACGTCCCTAACATCATCTCCCCCAATGTCTTCGCAGCCCTCATCTCTTCCGTGCGCCTGGGGGATGCTGGCCTCTGCCTCTACGAGTCCAGTACGCTACGTGCCGCAGTGTCCTACACCTTCGACCATGGTGCCATGTGGTTTGAGATGCTGGGTTCTTGTTAAGGACCTTCAAGTTCGAGTACAGGTAAGCACTGGATGTTTACAAGGTACTTAAATAGATACGAAGTGTAGACCATGCTGAGCACAGGTAACTGGATAAATAAGCAATAACTCGAGCAAAAACGAGTGAATATACGTGACCAAGATAAAAAGATAACAGCTCATATGTTATGCTTGCATACACATACATATCCATATATGTCTATGTATGTATGTATGCATGCATGCATGCATGCATGCATGTATGCATGCATGTATGTATGTATGTATGTATGTATGTATGTATGTATGTAGGCATGTAGCCATGTAGGCAGTAGTGTAGGTATGTATGTATGTACGTATGTATGTATGTATGTATGTAGGTAGTCATATATGTATGCTTGCACTGGAGCAAACACGTGTTCAATATGTAAACGGGGTATATATGCATGTGTATGCGTATATGTATATGTATATGTATATGTAGATGTAGATGTATATGTATATGTATATTTATAATATCATGGTAGGCTTAAACTAGATTCCTGAACCAGCGCAAAGGATGCTTCAGTGTACTATCATGGCAGTTCATCAAATGTACCCCAAACCCGATTATTGCAATTCAACAGTACTCAGCCCTCAAACCCTACTATGGTAATCCAAAAGACCTATTCTGGCAATTCAACAGTACTTAACCCTAAACCCTCTTATCCTAACTTCGACTAAATTCGATTCCTGATCCAGTGTTGACCCTAAATCCTAAACCCTAAACTGAGGATGATTCAGTGTCTGATCTCCGTCTGGGGCCTGAGCCTTCTTGTGTTGCAGACCTGCTTCAACCATGAGCGAGTGGCCGAGCTTTCCAATGCTGAACCTCTTAAAGGGCTTAGGGCTTAGGGTTTTGGGTTTAGGGATTTGGCTGACTGTTGGCTCTTTGATTCTGGAGGGCCCTTGACAGTTCCTCCTTGTTTGGTTATTGGAAGCAAGGTGGTTGGACTTGGGGCGAGCTCCCTTTACCATCGAATGGACGAAGGTGTGTTCGATCCAAGCCTGACAGCCACCAACCACAGAGACTGGGCTCTTGCTGAGGATGTTAGTGTATGCCATGCCACTACCACAACAAGGAACCCATGTCATGTACCATGTCGTCATTGTACTGATTGATATACGTTCTTTCATAAGAACTCAGGAGATGGAGTCGTCGCCGATTGGATGATTGCCAAAGGCTTCGTTGACCTCTGCCTAGAAGTTGCCGAAGTCTTTGGCCGTATCCGCACTGGAGAACTCCGCGGCTACTTTAACATTGGCAACGCCTGGGACCTTCTGCGCAGCATCATCCCCATATCCTTGCTCGCCTTCCACTCCGAGCGCTGGCTACATCTTTTGGTCGTGCTGATGCCAAGACTGCATAATGGAATCCGCTTTTGGTCAGGGTGACAACCCTAAACAGCCCTAAACCCTAAACCCTGAGCTTTCGCGTCGTGCCCCCAATTCCCTAAGCCCCAAGCCAAACGCCGAACATTGAGCCTCCAGCCGCACTCGCCAAATCCTCCACCTTGTTAATCCTAATGCCGGAGCACCGTGGTCGCATGTCCCCTTGAGAACCCCGACCCCCCAAGCAATGAAGGATGTAGCCCCCCAGTCGAGTTTCCAGGCGCCCACACACATATGAGCGCGAACTAGCAAAGATTACAGTTGCTACATCCCACAAACGGTCGGTGGTATACAAGATTCCAGCTAGGGTAAGAAGCCACCGGAAACAGATTTCTGATGAAGCTTGCTGTTTTTTCTCAAAAGAAAAACCCTTAAGCCTACTCCCATCATTCCATGAGTTCTCGAGTATGGCACTTATGCCACATCATTTCACTTACCATAGCGAGGATATATTTCGCTCCTATGGCAATATCCAGTCTCGATGAAGCTGCAACTCTAAACCCTAAACCCTAAACTCTAAACCGTGGTTTTTCCAAGGATCTACTGGATGCGCCTCTTGGAGAGCGTCATCTTGAGTGAGTGGATCGGCTGCGCACTTTTGCCTTTGCAGAAGCTCTTGACGCTGTGGCATGCAACGCGAAGCCTCTAGCTTTGCCTGCTTACTGCTTTGGGTGTAGGGTTTGCCTGCGGAACTTAAGTTTAAAGCCACAATGCAAGACTTTCAGAACTCCAATTCCCCAAATCGCAAGAAACCCCAAGACTCAACACGAAACCCCTGCAATCCTTAGAGACACTTGCAGAGAATGCTCTCATAAAGCCCTGTTAAGATGCTCCATAGATTCCTGATAAGAAACCTGTAATGAATACCATCATTTCAATCCGTTATAGAACTTAAACCCTGAGCCCAAAAAGAAACCCTAAACCCTGAAAAACCCTAAACCCCTGTTTTAGAACCTAAACCCTAAACCCTGAAAAACCTTAAACCCCTGAACAACCCTAAACCCCCGAATTGACCCTAAAAAAGTTAAACATGCAGTTCAAAAAAGACTCAACCCTAAACTCCTAAACCCTTCATCCCCTAAACCCCTAAACCCCCTAAACCCCAGACCCCTAAAGAGCCCTAAACCCTAACACACGGAATTCCAAAGCCCCTACCATGTAATGAATTCCATCATTTACATCCCTTATAGCACCTAAACCCTAAACCCTGAAAAACCCTAAACCCCTGTTTTAGAACCTAAACCCTAAACCCTGAAAAACCCTAAAGCCCTGTTTTAGAACCTAAACCCTAAA